CATAACACTTTGTGTTTTATTTCAGTATACTATTGTACCTCAAGTTTAATTATACAAAGTTTATACTTCTTAAGAAGTCCCATAAGCCAACTGAATGGCTTGTGCCGGTTAGGGGTAGGAACGGACCGCGGGTTTAAAGTCCCCTTCGAAGGACTAATACACAATAGGACAAACACAAATAAACAGCCATACCCCTGGTGGGATTCGAACCCACGACCTCCGGCTTGTAGTCAGCAGCACTAACCACTAGACCACCGTCGGCGTGGATGGCGTAATTGTCTAAAAAAATATTCTCCAATTGGACATAAATCACATCTTAAATAAAAATAACACGTTTTATTTTGTGTTCCAATTTAAAATTAAGTGCAAAAAAAATTGAGTATACGCACGAAATTCACCGTAAATACGCACGCGAAGATGCGTCCTCCCCTTGAATTCACCGTAAATCCACAAGTGAAGCTCGAAGTGAGTGCGCATGCATGCTAAAATTCGCGCGAAAAATTGAAATTATGGTGAATGCACATTTTTTGTTCAGAAAACTTATTTTACTATATAGGGGAAAATATATTTTCTGAACATGCACCCTTATTTCATTTTTTTCGCGCGAATTTAGAACACGCATGCATTTACGGTGAATTTAAGGGACGGACGCATCTTCACGTGTGCATTCACGGTGAATTCATGTGTGCATTTAAGGGGCGGACGCATCTTCACGTGTGCATTCACGGTGAATTCAATGGGCGGATATATCTTCACGTGTGCATTCACGGTGAATTCCAGGGGCGGACGCATCTTTTAGCAACCATGAATTCACGCGTGAAGCAATATTTTTCACCGTGCATTCACGGTGAACTCACGAATGTTATCTGGGTAGTGATTTTCCTTCATTTTAACTATTTTATTAACAATTTGCATTAATTTAAAACATTGTTTTTATTTAATTAATGAATTTTTAACCTTATTAGTAAATAATAATAAACTTTTAATGAAGGTACCGGGCTTTCAATCAAACCGTTTATACACATACCTACATAGCGACATATTTACTTTTTGTTTTGGTGCTTTTAAAAAATATATTGTTTTTATTAATATATTATTTTCTTGTAATATGAATGCATACAGTTTTTGAAAACTCATTCGTAGATTCCACTTGTATTGTTTATTAATTTAAAACTAATATTTAAAAATTTTAAATATTAAATAATAGGAATTGTAAAATATCATTGTTATTATTAACTTTAGGTATAGGGAATAGTTATATTAATGAAAAGGTATTATAATTTTATATTTAATTATGTAAAAATATACAGGGCGTTCCATTGAAAATAAAAAAGTGATTGCTGTTTTAATTTTTCTACATTCACATTATTTTTTATCAAGTATCTTTTTAGAAATATTACAATAAATTACATGGAATATTTAAAACAATGCTTCAGGATTCCAATAAATACAACCGAATATCAGTAAACCTAATATTAAAAAAGTTATAAGCTTTTTTGTTGAGGGTGAAACTGACCGAATTTTACTCAAACACTATTAAGGAATGATAATGTAAAAAAATGTGATGATTCATTTAAAATAACAAAGTTGATTTCGCTTCTGTTAAAACCGGAAGAGTAATTTTGTTCAAAATAATTTAGAAAAATAGTTTAAATGATATTATAATTGCATGCTATTTAAAATTTAAATTCAATATCTTTTGCCGTTCTCCATAAAGTTCTCCATAAACGTCTAACCTACCATCGAACGTGATACACCCTGTATAAATATATATACGTATAATATATATTTAATGGTCGTACAAAATCATTTTTAAATCACAAGTACTTGATAGTATAGTATAGCAGAGTTATTAATAATAAAGTACGCATCGCAATGGGACGGGTCGCGTCGGGAGCGCGCTCAAGCGTCAGGGCCAGAAAAGTCGCGCCGGCTCACAAAATCAAATGTCATTAATCGTTTAATTAAGAATCCAATTTTTTTTTTTAGTTTTTTATTGGAAAAACTTTAAGGAAAATATAAATTAATACGATTTTCAAAAAGAGCATTGAGAAAATTATAAAAATGCAAATTGTTTATTATAAATAATCTTTTTTTATGAAAATAATTTTTTTTTTTAATTTAATTATATTTTTTATGAAAATTTGATAAGTTTTGAAGAATTTTCAATAAAGGTAAAATTTTATTAAAAGGCTTTATTCCCATGAGAGATTTTCGAAAAAAAATCGCCAAAAACGCTCTTTTTTAAATAACTTTTACAATTGTTTATATATATATTTTTTAATTTGGGAATATTTTACTATCAATGAGTACTACAAAACCCAATAATTGTTTTTTGTAATTTCCAAAGTCGGGAAAACATGTTTTGCAACAAAAAACCCAACAGGGTGAGAATTCGTGAAACGGATCACTGCAGTGATCCGTTTCACGAATTCTCACCCTGTTGGGTTTTTTGTTGCAAAAAGGAATCCATTAAAAATATCTTACTATAAAATAATGAATGATAAAGTTAAATTACAAAATTGTAATTTTATAAATCGAAGTGTTAAATAAAAGTTATGTTAATACAGCACCGAATAGGTTTTTTTGCGGCCCGGTACTGAATTAAAAAAAAAGGAATAATTTTTATAATCATAATATTATATGATTATAATCAGCGTCGGAAATTTACTTTTTTCTCGATATCAGTGTTAATATCCGTATCCGTAAAAATTTGTAAATTTTCAAAAAAATTGACATTTGCATTTTTTCGTATTACCCTTTGAATAAAATTTAAAAAATTATAAAGGCAAATTTTCTGAAAATTTCCCAATTTTTCCGTTTTTTTTTCGGAAAAAACGGTTTTTTTCCGCCGGCTCAATTTTTCCGGAAATTTTAAAACCCTAGTGCAGAGGATTTCTTCAGGACCCTGCTAAAAAAGACCGGTAATATCGGATGATTGCGGATAAAAAACCAAGCTAGTTTTATGTCCATTTATATCTGTTTTCATCCGACATATCTGAAATCACCCCGCATATCGGTTTTCATCTGCAATGCGGGTATAAATATTATCCGTGAACGTCGGTTTTTATCTATATAAATATTTAGTTCTATGTCTGCTTTCGTCCGCAAATACCTGGATTTGGGGTGGTATCTGCATTTATCCGGTTTTATCTGCAAATACGTACCTGCTTTCGTCCGTTTTTACCCGGTCTTATCTGCGTTTGCCTTCATTTACTTCTTTGCCTGCTTCCGTTCGGTTTCATACGCGATTATCTGATTTTATCCGATTTTACTTGCAAACATCTGCTTTCATCTGTGAAAGTCTGATTTTACCCGCAAACATCTATTTTAATCTGCAAACGTCTGGTTCATCAGATTTCACCGGCAAACATCTGCTTTTATACGTAAAGATCTGCTTTTATTTGTGAAAGTCTGCTGTAATCCGCAAACATGTGTTTTACTCTACATTTTACCCGCAAACATCTATTTTAATCTGCAAACGTCTGGTTCATCAGATTTCACCGGCAAACATCTGCTTTTATACGTAAACATCTGCTTTTATCCGCAAACATCTGCATTTATCCGCAAACATATGCTTTTATCCACAAACATCTGCTTTTATACTCGAAGATCAGCTTTAATCTGTGAACGTCTGCTTTAATCCGCAAACATGTTTTACTGCGCAAACATGTTTGCATCTACTTTAATCCGCAAACGTCTGCTTCATCCGATTTCACCTGCAAATATCTGCTTTTATACGCGAAGATCTGCTTTAATCCGCAAACATTTGTTTCTATTCGCAAACATCTGCTTTTATCCGCGAAGATCTGCTTTCCCTGCTTAAAAAACCCCATAGAGACCTATACAAAATATTCTATAGGGCGCTACCGGTTTCAATATGTGCATTTGTCCAAGGTTTTTTCCGGATACAGCCCGATAGAAAATGTATAGGAAATTACCTATAGGCACACCATAACTTTTACATTTTCCCTATTGAGACCGATAGAAAATAACTCAATGAAGGATATATAGGGATATCCCTATAGAACAACCATAAAACATTTGACAAAATTTTATTAAAACCTATGGGGTCCTATAGGGAAAAAACTAATTTCTACATTTATGTGTATTTTCCCCATTGAAACCGATAGCAAATAAATCAAGGGTGGATAATATCCACTGGATATCCCTATAGAACAACCATAAATCTCAACTATGGGTCCTATACAAACTGATATACCCTATAGAAACACCATACATCCCGATACAAATATCTATCGGTTTGAACAGGGCCTCTATGGGGTATTTTAGGCAATGCCGGACAAATTCAGATATAAACGAAACGCAGTGGAGACGGTTAAAAAGAAATTATTACAGATGATTGCGTGGGTGCACTAACCGGATAAAAAACACGGATATAGCGATGCGGACAAAAATGACATCCCTGGTATATCCGAAAAGGTAGACCTATGGACGTCCTTAAAGTCTGCCTTAAAATCTTTATCGGCTATGTTAAAAGCCCCGTTTTTTAATAATAATAATATGTAGTGATGAAGAAAGGTAATGATGATGATGAAGATAAAAATAGTCTTCGAATATATGGATTTTAAGTATTTTTTAAAATATTTCCCTTCACATTATAAAAGATGACTGCCCAATTATTTTTATTGAAATATTTGATGTCTAAAACACTTAAAACATTAATAAAAATGACCACTTTGTTTTGGTGTTAGTTTTTCATTTTTTAAGTAACGTTAAACATGATTAAAAAAATACATTTTAAGTGGCAAAAACCCAAAGATGCAATACAGTAACCATCTAAAAAGAAGAAATTTGCAAATTAGCTCCTGAGCGTGCAGATGCAGACAACTCAATAATCATTGTTATGAAGAATCACTGATTTTAAATTTTGCAGTATGATTAGTTTTTTGAACTAAAATCCTTTTTATTTAAAAAAACTTCTTGTTCAAAATTATCCATCAAAGCGACAAGGTAAATAAATAATAAAATATGTTGTTATAAAGGTTTACTCAGACAAAAAGCTTTATGCATATTCGTATAGGTACATGTATTCTTAAAACGTTTAAAATTATGGAAAACACTATTTTGTATAATCTATAAAGCCTATAAAATGTGAACCAAAATTAAATATAAAAATATCTTAAATATAAATTTAACAAAAAAAGTATTCTATAAACAATTTTCACATAAAATGTTCTGTTGAAAACATTTATTAATCTAAACGTTTTTTTACCATGACCTTATAATTATCGGAAACACCATATTTTCAATCTTCTTGTCTACAAAAAGAATTCTTTAATCGTCGTCCTCATCATCCGATAAATATTTTTTAGCAGATCGTTTTGGTCTTCCCGGTCTTCTTTTAGTTTTCACTTTCTTGCCTTTAGGAGTTTCATTGTCAGACTTGCGTGCTTCATCTTCCTCCGAATCATCATCATTCTCGATTTTTTGTTTTGCATTTGAAAACACAGACTGTAAAACAATGCTATCTTCGTGAATTATAGATGCCTCTTCGTTAAAAATTTGAGCATTTTGACATAGCAGCATAAAATCTCTTTCTAAATCCATGAAGTCTGAATACTATGAACAAAAAAATAATTATTATAAATTTATTATTTTTTTCTTCAAAATACTTACTCTTCCATCTTCTATGTAATTCATGATTTTATTTACATCAATAGGTTTTTTTATGATGGAATAATATTCTGGATATTCTTTTCTTGAAGGCAACTTCATAAATTGATCACTAAGTTGCCGTTCATCTCTGAAAAAAAAATTTTTTTTTTTCTTTCTCGTATTTTTCATTGATTAATTAAATCCCATATTTCATACATAAATTTCTTACCTGTCTGTGTAATTAATGATGATGGACATAAGTTTTTTCATTTTTTTCTTCAATTTTATCTCAGCAGTACCACTCTTGCGTTTTCTTTGGCTCGTTCCCGCTTCTTCGTCAGAATCGTCATCGCGCTTCTTTCTTTTTCTGCCACGTTTTTTCTTAACCTTTTCCTCTTCTTCCTCTTCATCATCAAAATCACCGTCCTCGTCAATAGCCTTTAACCACTCTTTTTCGGTTAAACTGTCGGCATAGTCAACTTCCTTCCGTTGCCTTGTTCCTCTACCCAAAATAGTATCTTCTTCCATCCAAGGGTCGACCTCGTCAGGATGTTTTACCAGCCAATCGGGAAGTTCTTCCTCTTGAATCAAACGTGATCTGCCATGTGTACCCAATTTTTCTTCTTCTTCTTTTCTTTCCTGATCCAATTTCTGGAACAGTTCAAACTCTTGTTCGGATCGAGCCAACATTTGATTGACCGTCTCGTCGTCAGGAACTTCATTTTCCTCCTGAAATTACGAATAAAAAATGTATATAATTAAATTAGGGTTTAATCAAGCAATAACCACGTCAATGTTATTTTATTGACTATAAAATAAGAAGACCAACGTTTTGGATTTTTTTTACTGAGCTAAAGGGGACTTTTTGGAACAAAAGAGAATCGTAGCTAATTTCGGTCTTTAAAAAGCAATAACGTTATTGTTTCGAGTATCTTTAGATAATTCAAAAACTCGATAAAAATAAATTCGATCGGTGATAGCCCAGTGTAAACTGTGGTAAGTAGTAAGATACTAAGGTGACATAGATAATAAGTATGGTGATTTTATAGTTGTAATGTAAAGCGTGTTCGAATAAGGCGGATCGAAGCAAAACAGTAAAGAATAAGTTATTTGTAAAAAAAAATATTTCCTTATTAAGTGGCCGTCCATAAATCTCGTGAAACTAAAAATGGTAATAATTGACCCCCTCCCCCTCCCTCGTGACAGAATGTAACTATCAAACTCCCCTACCTCCTAAAAATATTTTTTTTTCGATTTTTTTTTTGAAATAATCTGACTAAAAATGAAACAAATAGGCAAATTTATTTAATTTACTTTGTCACGTGACGTTTTAAAAAACCCTCCCCCTCGGGCGTGAAAAATCGTGACAGTCCTTCAAAGCCTCCCTACCCCCTCTCTTCCTCAGCGTCACGAGATTTAATGATTGCTCCTGAATCATGTTATTTGGTATATGGTAATTACGTGTGAAAGATAATATTGGAAAAATGTTTACCAAAGCTTCGGCCGCATACTTCCATTCGATAGTCCAAATTTTAGGCGACATATTTGCATAACTGGTCATCAATCTCACCAATATGCCTTATTATCTCGTCCTTTAGCTGAATTGTTATTGGCTTGTTGGCATACCCCTTACTTTTGAGATAACCCAAAAAAAGTAGTCCAAAGGTGCGATCTTGGTGGCCAATTCGCTTGGTCGAGAGATGATGCGACCTTGATACAAATCATTCAATAAAGCCATTGTTGCATTGGCTGTGTAGCATGTAGCACCATCCAATTAAAACAACAAATTGTCAGAATCGATGGCATCCACCAATTCAGGCCATAAAAAACTCATCATGGCTCTGTAACCGAATTCCCCAAAAATGTGGACCATTAACCTTTGGAGGTGTGCTGCCGATGCCTTGGCGAACATTTGGACGATATTATCTTTTATACATAATTGCCCATGTACCAAACAACATGATTAAAAAAAAATCTTTTTTAGCAAATAATATTGACCCATTTTATTTGAACACCCTTTAAAAAGTGCCCAAATGCTTAGAGGCGGATAAAATGCATAAAAGATGGGAAAATGGCAAATATAGCAAATAAATTTTCTGATTTATTTTACCGGATATAGTTTTGGCATATCTTTTTTTTTTGGATCTTCAAAAAGCTATTCGGCAAATTGAGCCACAAACAACCGAAAAGGTACTGCAAAATTATGTGAAGATGATGGACTAATGCCAAGCTAGCCTGGTCAATAATCACTTTGCCACAGGGTGGCCAACTTTTTTAGGGTAATTTGGGTGCGCTGATTTAAAAAATACCCTTAATTTGGCTCAATTAGCCTTGTTTTCGAGATAAAAATTGTTTTTTTTTTTCGATATGCAAATATTCAAATTCGTACATAGGTATATTATTTTAATCAAATACTTTAACCAAGGATCATTGATCATGAAGCTTTAAGTCATAATTTAACAAAAAAAAAAATTAATTAAACACATTTATGAAGTAATTCCCTTAACGAAATAAAATCGCCTTTTTAGTAAAAATTCGACAGTTTTCAATGTTCAAAATGCTGTCAAAATTAAATTAATATTTAGGGTCATTTTTGTTTGTAGGACTTTGGTCGTTGGTCCTGTCAACAAAAGTAACAGGTGTTACGGTAAAAAAAATAAAAAACGCTCTTACCCTTTTTTTAGTTTAAGGGGGACAATTTATTTTTATATTTTTAACCTCTAAGGTGATGGTTACCCCTACAATTTTTAAAGAAAAGAGGGGTTGACCCGGTTGAGTGATGCTCATGTTGAAGACCTTTTAAATCCCTACATTTTGGTGTATTCATTTATAAAGACGGTTGTTTCCTTTTCAAAATATTTGAGAAAAACTTCATTATTAAATTTATTTTTATGTTAAAAATATATTTTAACACGCGCAGTTGTTTTGAGTGCCATTGCATTGAAACTTTGACCCAATAAAATAGATAAAAAAGCTACATATTTTATAAATTTCATTAAAATCGAGTTTTTGCCAAGAAAAAATTTTCTTTTGTTAAAATATGTTTTTAAGGGACTTTTTATATAGTTAAATTAGTAATCGTAGCTAGATGACCAATGATCCTTAGTTTCAGTATTTGATTTAAAAAATATATATGAATTTGAATGTTTGCATGTCGAAAAAAACGTTTTTTTCACAATATCTCTAAAACAAAGGCTAATTAAGCAAAATTATGGTCATTTTTGGAATCAGCCCACCCAAATTACCCCAAAAGTTAATTTTGTTGACCTTCTCCCAATTTAAAACCCGATTGGTTTAAATTAAGGCTGGGAATCGATTACGAATAATTCGAATATTCGAATAGAGGTGGAAATTATAAAGTATTAGAATATTCGAATACTCGAATATTTGAACATTTTTTCGAATATGTGAATTTGTAATTTTTATTAAACAAAATTAAGAGCTCTCATCAAAAATTAGGTGGTTTACGAATTTTTAAAATTATAAAAATAATCGAAGTCGAATTTAAAATAATAATTTTTTTGCCACAGTAAATTTTTGAACACAAAAACTTAATAAGTTTTTTTAAGTTACAGCTTAATAAATAAATTGTTAAAGGTCAATCACAAATTTTAAAAAATTCCGAAAAAAATCGATATAGTCGCTTCGTTTTGGATACTAGCGAAAAGTAATTAGTAATTTCTAATTACTAATTAATAGGTATACGTAGGAAAAATTTGCGGTAGCCCGCTGCTTTCACGTGCAATTTTAATTTAGAATTTCTAGCCAAAAAGCCCAAAAGCAACTTGCCTATATCTACTAGATATTAGATATTATCTAGGGTGTAAGTAGATTTTGCTTCAGAGCTGAAACTTTAAGAAACTTATTACAAAAATTTACCGTGGCAAGCAAATTTTTTTTCTTACTACCTCGGCCGAAAATACGTTGTTTCGTCCCCGATTCCACGGCAGAAAGTTTACGTTTGATGCATTGGTCAAGCTATACGTATTTTCGGCCGAGGTAGTAAGAAAATGTAATTTTTTATCCTTCTACAAAATAAAAAATATACAAATATATCGATATATGGTCAAGCCCTCTATAATATCGCTCGTGCCGCAAATGTCGGGGCAGGCATCAATAGGTTTCGATATACACATTAGGGTGTTTCAAAAAAATCGACTTTTTCTTTTTCTTCAAATGGTCGGCAAATTCTTTCAGAGGATGTCAACACAAAGACCTCGTCAAAATTTGAGCTTTTAATTTGAAGATTTAGAGGTCGCGGATCGCAATTTTCTATTTCCCATTTAAATAACATGGGAAAATTGTACCATAAATGTTAAAAAAACGCTAATATTCGATGGAAATCATACTTTGGCCTCGAATAACTCTGGAAGAAATCAATTTATAGAAAAATTATAAGAGACATTTTTTATAGGGCGTTAAATTTACTATAAAAATCTAAGATGTTCCTTGCCATAAGTTGATTCGATATAGACGTATAAAATTCCAAAGTTAAAAAAAAAATTTCCTATGTTATTTAAATGGGAAATAGAAAATTGCGATCCGCGACCTCTAAATCTTCAAATTAAAAGCTCAAATTTTAACGAGGTCTTTGTTTTGACATCCTCTGAAAGAATTTGCTGACCATTTGAAGAAAAAGAAAAAGTCGATTTTTTTGAAACACCCTAATACACATTTAATTTTTTCCCGTATTTTCGGCCGGGTAGGAAGAAAAATAGTATACACTACACGGGCAGAAAGTGTGAGAGCCCTGAACTGCGCGCCATAATGCCATCGGCTTCGCCTCGGGAATCATGGCGCGCAGTGCAGGAATCTCACACTTTCTGCCCTTGAAGTGTAATATACTATTTCGAATTTTGACCAAATTTTTTTTTGAATTTTAAGTCAAAATTTTCAACCATTTTTTGAATTTTTAAAGTTATTGTGCGACCATTATTTTTTTTAATCAGTTGAGCTGATTTTTGAAGAGAGCTTTCAAATCATGATAAACAAATATTATTTCATAGGAGTTTTTTTAATAATAATATTAATTATTAATTAATACATACATTAATTAAATTAAATTAGGCAAAGTCTAGCCAGGCTACTACAGGCTACTTTTGAGGAGAAAAATTTATAGCCTAGAGATTTAGTAATAACTTTTTATAATAATTATTATAATTATCTGATCTGAAGTAAAAAACACATACAATAATTAATATTATAAGAAGTTTTTATTAAATCTCTAGATTGGCTCAAAAATCTCCAAAACTAGTAAAACTTCACTGGACCTGGTAAATATTTTAATATTTAAATACTTATAAATTCGATTATTTGAATATTCGGATATGTACTTGATATTCGAATATTCGAACACCCGAATATTCGAATAATTTTAATATTCGAAATAATTTTCAAACGAGTATTCGAATTTCCAAAACTAAAAAATTCCCAGCCTTAGTTCAAATCACAGTAAATAAATCGACCAATTACTGATGCCTAACAACGTGAATATTGAGTTAATTTTTCCCGTTGTTAGGCAGGGAATTTATAATGTTTATTATTATTCAGGGAATTAAAAACCCAATATTATGCAATATGAGTAGATTTACTTTTATAAGCTATTTTAGTAGGAATTATTAGATTTAAATACCTCATCTTCTGTGCCATCATTATGCAATATACTTTGCAGGAACTGCTGCCTTTCAGATCCAGTCGACTTCTGATCAAACATACCAGCTTGAATAACTTTTTCGTCCATAGTTAATTTATACTTAGCTGCAGCCAAAATACGCTCCTCCACTGAATTTACTGTCATTAGACGCAACACTCTGACCTCGTTCTTTTGACCGATACGATGAGCACGATCCTGAGCTTGCAAGTCCTGGTGCGGATTCCAATCAGAATCGAAGATAATAACGGTATCGGCGGTCTGCAAATTTAAACCCAAACCTCCAGCTCTGGTGGAAAGCAAGAAAAGAAAGTATTCGCTATCTTTGTCGTTGAATTTCTTTAACAGATCTCCACGATCTTCCGCCTTAATTGTACCGTCTAGACGAAGATACTGGAAGCCTCTCCAGTTTAAGTAGTCTTCCATGATAGTCATTAACTGAGTCATCTGACAGAAAAGTAGAACTCTGTGGTTGGTGCGCTTTAATTTTGGGAGAATCCTATCCAGCAGTTCGAATTTTCCAGACGCTCTGTAAGTGTCAGGACCGGACATTACGCCTCCTGCGATACCCACGTGGTCGCAGTATTTTTCTTCGATATTTTGGAACATGAACGGATGATTGCACAATTTACGCAACTGTACAATGGTGTTCATTAACGCCTTGGAACCTCCTTTGCCTTTAGCGCCCTTTTCAGAACCATCAGTAAGCAAAACGCCTTTGCTCTGCATGTGTTGGTATAGGACTCTCTGCAAACCGGACATGTCGCATTTAATGATGTACTCAACCTTGTCTGGGAGCTGTGATTCTACTTCTTTTTTTAAACGTCTTAGCAAAAATGGACGCAGAACTTTGTGTAAACGGCGAATAATAAGAATAGTTTCTTCTTCATTTAATTCTACCTTTTCTCCAGTAGTAGCGAAGGGCGCGTTAAACCATTGCTCGAAAGTAGAACAACTTTTGAATATGGAAGGGAGTAAGAAATTAAGCAGAGCCCACAACTCCGGTAGTTTATTTTGCAAAGGAGTACCTGTTAATAAAAGACGGTATGGTGCCAAATAGTGAGTGTTTAAGACTTGAGTCAATTTGCAATGGTGGTTCTTCATTCTATGTCCCTCATCTATAATCATATATTTGAAAGGAATTTTAGCCAAAACGCTTTTATCCTTTATAATATATTCATAGGTAGTCAGTACAACGTTAAATTTGGCAGATCTCATTTGTGTCTGTATTACTCTTCGAATTCCAGGTGATCCCTTATATGAAATTACAACCACAGATGGGGCCCATTTTTCAAACTCCAAAACCCAATTTGACATTGTGGACAAAGGTACTATGATTAAAAAAGGACCATTTAATTTTTTTCTCTCCATCAAATGAGTAATAAGCGCGATAGTTTGAATGGTCTTACCGAGACCCATTTCATCAGCAAGAATACCGTTAAGATTATTATTGTAAAGAGAAACCATCCATTCCAAGCCTTTAACTTGGTACTCTTTTAATTGGCCATTAACCATAATGCTAGCCTGCTCAGTAACAATCTCATGAACTGTATGAGCAATGCTGTAATAGGTCTGTTCTTCAATGGAATTTTTATGATACTCATCATCTTCTGACTTGGCTTTCTTAAGGACTTTCCTTACTTGATTCGTATCATCCTTACCCTCCCTTGAATCTTTCTCCTTTTCTTCGTCAGAATCTTCTTCATCAGAATCAATCATTTCCCAGCCAGGATTTTTCTGCAGCCAATCTTGGACTTGACTGAGCATTGGGCCCTCATCCCCACTTAATTTTTTGCCCGTAGCAACTTCCACGACACATACGTGCCTATCCTCGTTGGCTGATTCAAGTTTAAGTTGTTTTTTCTTCCGCTTTTCCTCTTCTTTTTTCTTATGCGTCTGTTCGATCTTGTGCTGCTTCACCATCTCAGTTAAATTGCTTATATACTCATCTGTTTGGGACAACAAGAATGCCAAACGTTTGTCTTTCTTTTGATCGATTAATTTTCTGTAACCTTCTTCATCCTCTGCCATCAGTCTGCGCATACGTTCCTTCTCAATTCTCTCTTGTTCTTTCTTTTGCTCCCGTTCGGCATTAGCGTGATAATTAATGACAGCCCGGTTAAGTTTAACCAACTTAAGTTGATTTGCTCTATGAAATTCTTTAAAATCTTTACCATGCTGGAGAACTGAAGTAAGAAATTCTTGATTTTTCTGCCTTCTTTTCCTTTCAGCTTCTAGTTTTTGTTGTTTCTCCAATTTTTCAGTGGCTCTGGCCTCGCGAAGCCCCTGTCGCTTTGTACGTTTGTATGCTTTAATGTTCACCGCTGTCTCTAAAGTAGTATCTCTGCGGATGCAATTTATAATTTCGCTTCTTAATTGCCTTTGAAAGTTAAGACATCTTAGGGCGCGCAATTCAATTTGGGCCTGGATGCGCAATTTTTCAGACATGTCCGTTGGCAAGTTGCTTACTTCATCTATTCTTGCTGCTATACGGGCTGCCACTCTGTTAACAAAATCGAAATCAATGAAAACAAAATAAAACACATTTAAAGCTTAATTTTTATATATCCGTTTGTCCGTTAATCCGGGAGCGCTCTTATTGGTCCAATTATAATTCGAAAATTATGAAATTTCATCAGTCCGTCAAGTTTCAACTTCGTACGTCTGACAGAGAAAGGTAAAATAATTTTATCTACGCCAGTGAGATAAGAACTTCTTATCCCACTTATTTTGAGTGAGATAAGAAGTTCATTAACGCACGCGTTTTTCTCTGCTTTTAACCAATCAAAATGTCAAAATAACCCTAAATTAAGTCTTAGACAAAAATAATTACCGTTTATTTTTTCATTTGGAGGCGTAGATAAAAATTTGTACAATATACGTGTGATAACTCTTTATTAACGTACTTTTGCGACGCACTCGTTGGGCAAATTTCGCATGCGTACGTTAATAAAGCTCTTATCCCACTTATATCGTAAATAACTATTAACTCATCTGTTACTACACATCTGTTTTTGACGCCTTACGATATTTTAAGATAATTTATTTTCAAATCTTTGATTGTAAAACGGAAATATTACGTTCGTTATGTGAATAATGTTCTAGTGTTATTAAATAAGAATAACGGAAAAAAAAGACAAAAAAAAATGGAACTAAAAGGACCTACTTTTTTAAAACTATACATTTTAATGTACATTAAGGCTAGTATATTCTTTTTATATGGTATATTTACCTACCTATAAACTAATTAGACAGCTAACTGTTAAAGTTACAATTGTTGACATAAGAATGACAATTAAGCATTAGGTAAATTTAGTAAAGTGAATATACTGACACTTAATTTCTATTTGTCGCCAAATCAACCCGTTAAACGTCATTAAAAAACGGATGCATGAAACATTTCTTATCGGACGATTTTATTGAAAAACGGACAATCCGACATGAAAATTAAGCTTGAGACTTACCTATTTTCTCTTTCTTGCAGTAAATGAACAGGGTCTATGCCAACAGGCTTTGGCAAAGAAGTGATACGAGTTTGCTTGTTACCGACCATTTGCTGTCCTCGACCAGTCTGTTGACCTTGTGCGCCACCAAGCTGGTTCGATCCAGGTAATCCAGGCTTAACACCCTGAGGACCTTGACCTTGAAATTGACCTGAGGTCATTGAATTTGAATCACCAATATCCCCTGATAATGGTTCACTCTAAAATTAACACAATAAACATTTGTCAAAAGGTGTAGCCAATTTAATTTCATTATATCTGACATTTGACATCTGTCAGAGTTTTGTCACTATTTTCAATTTTAATTTAAAGCTTACTTCAGCCCGTGAGCGAAATGCAATTTTACCCACTAGTTGGCGAAGTATAATTTCGCCCACCGGTTGAAGTTAAGAAATGAAATGGTTAAATAATAAGCACGACAGAAGTTTATAAAACTAGTTGCATACTATACTTTATCTACGACGAACACAAAGAAGAATTTAAAGCCAATTTTGTTAAACATTTGACATCTGTCAAAAGTCAACGGATTTAACTTTACTTTTCCCCAATTTATAATAAAGCTAACTTAGAACCGTAACTAAAATGCCCAATAGCCACTATTGCTAACTCCAGCCCGTGACTAAAACACCATAAAGCCACAGCTCGTCAATGTAGGAGTAGATAATAGTATATTGTGTCTAGAAAAGTTTATAAAAGAGCTGCATACTATACTTTATTTACGACGAACACAAAACAGAATTTAAAGCCAATTTTATTTGTTAAAAATTTGACATCTGTCAACTGACCCCAATTCAACCTTACTTTTTCCCAATTTATAATAGAGCTAACTTTATCCCGTGACTAAATTGCCATAAAGTCACAGCTCGTCAATGTAGGAGTAGGTATATTTTATATTAGTTATTCAGGGTCAGGGTTGCCAGATTCTGTCAAAAAAATCGGTACGTTTTGTATGAATTTATCTTAATTACAAAATTGACATAAAATATTTTTGTAATTAAGGTTAATTCACACAAAATGTCCCGTTTTTTGACAGAATATGGTAACCCTGTACAGGGTGTTCTACAAGCTCTATAACAAACTTTGGCAGATTTTTTTTTTAATGAACATTTATGTCTTTATAAGTCTTATTCACGGCGTTATCTATACCAGCGGGAGTGTAGCCCCCACTCCTGCATCGAAACTGTGACGTCGGGTGGCCGATCTGATCACTGTGCACCTATATAATATATTACATTGCTTTGCAACCAAGTTTATGGATTATTATTGCTTTTAAGAAGTTATTTTTACTGAAGCAGTGGACAATGCATGAGTATGATATTCTATCAAAATCAACAGAACAATATGTACTAAGTAATTTATTGAAAACAAACAGAGAACTGCTATTAAAACAAAGAGATCTGCACACAAAAAATAATTTTGTAATTTTAAAATAACGATTGTTTTGGATTTTATACTTCAAATAAGCTCCCCTACAACGTGGTATAATCCCGTTGGTCCGCCATTTTCCAGAAACCCTAAATGCCATAAAAACGCCGGTTGATATGACAAAAATTATTGTTTGTGGCATATATGTTTGACACTGAGTAGAACTGAGGTTGGATATATGTTGCTTTCAGTAGAATTAAGATTATTTTAACATAATTTTATTCCTACATCTCTTAAACATTTTTAGAGAACAGTTAAATAATGCAAGATTCAAAACGCTTTAAAGACGTTGAAAAAAGCGCGTGACGTCACAATGTTACCATAATAAAGAAAGTAGTGTATTTGCGAATTTGACGTCAAATTTGATGTTATCAATAATTATTAATTTTTACCAAACATTCTTATAGAAACACCGGTTGTAGAAATAATCCTGTGTGTAATTCGACCACAAAGTGACATTGCCGCTCTCGCCAGATAGCCAAACTTCTCGCTCAGAGCGGCAATGTATCACTTTGCGCTCTTAATACACAAATAGCTATTGTTTCTTACTTACTTTGTATACAGGGTGTTATGTAATTAATGTTATATATTAAAATACTGAATACCTTTTGACATAAGGAATAAAGGAAAAATATTTAAAAATTCCAAAGATAAAGAAAAAATATGCATTAGAAGTTTTTTATATTTTTTGTGATACGCCACTGGTTACACACTTGTTTATCTCTGCACACCTGTATTTTGTGAGTACATAGATACCAACCAACAAAGTAGCTATGCGTTGCCAGATGTAAAAAATTGTTACTAAAAATTTTTCTTGCAAAAAATAAATAAAAACTCAATAAATACAAAAGTTTTATGCCCTTAAAGCTCTAATACCCTTCTGTATTTATTTACTAATGTTTGTAATAATACCTGTTTATTGCTGGATCTACTTTCCTCGTTTGGATTTAAACAACTGTTTTATTTACCTAGTCGAAATTTAAATTGTATAGATAATGTGTAAATTTTAACTGTGATTGTACAACTGATACGATAAATATAAATTTTTCGGATCATAATGCCCAGATAGTTACATTTAATAAACTTATAAAGCAATCTAAAACTAAACCAATTCTTAATAAGTCTAGACCCATAACTGAATGGGGAAAATATATTTTTTTAAATATTATAGGACAAACGTCCTTTGATTTTATCAATACAAGTTTAGACTTGAATTATAAGTTTGATGTTTTTGTATCTATTTTTAAAAGATCATTTTTAAAATGCTTTCCGGAAAAAACATGTATCTACAGTTCGAATGGTGGGACAGGTTTTGGCTGGTTTAATAATGAACTCAAGAACATGAGAAACACCTTAGATTTTTTAAGTGAACTATCAAGGCAAACTAAAAACTCAGAAATACTCAAACAAAAACAGGATTTTAGAATTAAATATAAAAAAGCAATATTAAATGTCAAAAAAGATTTTAATGACAAAAAGATTAAAAAATCAAAAAATCCAATAAAAAGTATGTGGGAAATTATTAACAAAAAAAGGGGGGGAGCTCAAGTAAATTGTAAAATTTCAGCCAATATCATGAATTCTTATTTCGTTAATATAGCTGATAATATTTTAAAAAATTTAAATGTAGTTAGTTCCACAGTTAACCTGGACAAAATTCAAACACCAAAATACCAGTTTAATTTTAAGGAAGTCACTTATATTGAGGTTCTGGAAATAATTTCCAATATTAAATCAAAAAATAGCTGTGATGTCTATGGTTTAAATATAAATTTAATAAAAAATGTAAAATACTTAATATCTGTTCCCTTAGCTAAATTAATAAATATGTGCTTTTTATCTGCAGAGTTTCCGGGTGTTCTGAAGGAGGCCCTTGTCGTTCCTGTTTACAAGAAAGGTGATGCTGAAGACCCCAGTAACTACAGACCAATATCAATATTGCCAATTTTTTCAAAAATTATTGAGAAATGTATGGCAAATAGGATTGTTGCTTTTTTTGAGGATAACGACATCTTTTGTGATTATCAATATGGTTTTAGGAAGGGTAGAAACACTACAACTGCTATCTTACAGATGGTAAAATCCATAAATGAGTCATTTGAAAATTTGGAGTTTGCGAATGCAGTTTTTTGCGACCTTAGTAAGGCCTTTGACTGTGTCTCTCACTCTTTACTTCTGAAGAAATTAGAGGCCTACAATTTCTCAGCGAATAGTGTAAAACTCATTGAGTCATACTTAGCAAATAGATATCAGGTGTGCAGGGTTGAAGGCAGGGTGAGTCAGAGGATGGAGTTACGAGTTGGGGTTCCCCAGGGTTCTATTCTTGGCCCTATCCTGTTTTTAATTTTCATTAATGACTTGTGCTGCAATAATGGCGCGGTGGGTTTTACACTTTTTGCTGATGATACCACAATAATATTAAAACACTCAGATATTGAACTACTAAATGAAGAGAGCGAGCGTGCACTGTCAGAGGCTGAGCTATGGTTTACCAGTAACGGACTTGTTTTAAACAAAGAAAAAACACAAAATCTTATTTTTTCTTTAAGACCTATAAATGATGGATACCCACTAAAACCAGTTAAATTTCTAGGAATCTTATTAGACCACAAATTAAGATGGAATTGCCATGTTGATGCGTTATCCAAAAAATTGAGCACCAGTATATTTGTCATGCGTAACTTAGTTGGTAATGTCTCTAGTGATGTACTTTTAAGTGCATATTATTCGCTATTTGAGTCACATATATCTTACGGTCTAATTGTGTGGGGTCACTCTGCGGAATGTTATAAAATATTCGGTCTTCAACGCAAGGTAATAAGGATCATCGCCTCTCTTGGTTACAGGGACGACTGTAGGGCTATGTTTAGTAATCTTGGAATTCTAACACTACCCTCCTTATATATTTTTCAAAATTTACTTTATGTTAAAAATAATTTGAATTTGTACCATAGCCACGATAGTTTTCATGACTACAATACAAGGAATAAAAATCAGCTTATGAGTAAATTTTCCAGGCTCAATAAATGCCAAAGTGGACCAGATTTTAACGGAATAAAATTTTACAACAAACTTCCAATCAACATAAAAAATATGGCTTTTAAGGAATTTAAGTTATATCTAAAATCTTTATTTGTAAAAAACGGGTTTTATTCTGTAAATGAGTATTTTGAGTATCAATTTTAATGTTTTAATTATATATTTACCTATATTATGTAAGTTTGTACTTTTTAATGTATTTGTGATTAGTCTTTTCTTTTTACTTTTTCTTTTATTTGACGTTGTAAACAATCTGTATTGTATTAGCACTAATAAAGATTATTATAATTATTATTATTATTATTATTATTATTATTATTATTATTATTAGCTTAACTACGGTTTCGCGAAAGGATCGAACGGTCGATTTGCAAGGGTTCAAGAAATCGATTGAAACTTTTTTACCTTATTTCTACATCTTAATGCAGTACTTTTTTTAAAAAAAAAATCTCGTCCATTGACAACTTTGTTTTTATTTTAATTTTTTTCTTCGCTGTGTTAAAAATGAAGAAATTTCATTTTTTTTAAATAACTTTTTTATTTCAAAACGTATCGATTTGAAATTTGGACAAAATGTAGATCTTACTAATGACAATTAATCCATGAAAAAATTTTGTTTAGATTATAACGTACAGGGGGCGCTGGTGATAATTTAGTTTAAAATTTGACAATTTTTAAAGAGTAAATAATCGAAGAAGCAACTTTGTTTTATAAATTTGAGTATAGCACGTGAAAGTATTGATATTTGACTATTATTTGATATATTAACTTTTTTATGCAAATGATGTTTCTGTGGCCAGGATCAGTTTTGAATTAGCAGTAGCAGTATTCATAAATGCTTAGTTTAGTACATTTTGTCATTTTTATACAAATATTGTTTTATCTTTTATTAATAATTAAGTAAAGCATAACACATAAATGACGTTTAATATACAGGGTGTTTCACGTACTTAGTCCGTTGGAAGTTTCTAGGGAATCGCGAAAGACATCGATTTAAAATTTTAATAGCGTAAAGTATTCGCTTTAGACTCTTTTCCTAAATTATTTTAAACAAAATAATACTTCCTGTTTTACCGGAATACCTCATATATTTTTACATTATTTAATTCTACATAAAATTCTGAGTAAAATGGCTATACCATATCCTATACCTAAAGTCAATATTTTTTGAGTTATTATTATTTTTTCAATCAAATATTTTAATTAATTTTAAACAATGACAGATTTGGTGGTGATACTGTTACATTAAACCACATGTAGAATTTCAGAGGTTTGTTGATACAAAATACTATTGAAAATATTAGAAATTGTTAAATGTCTCTTAAATTTTAACTTTAGGAAAGAGTTACTATAATACCAATCGAAAGATTCTTTAATGTTCTATTTGATTATGTTAAAACATACAGGGTTTTACATTTATAATAAAAACGTTGTTATTGTTTGAAGTTTGCCTAATTTCAAGTGGTTTTTCTCAAGGTATTTGTTGAAAAACCTTTAAAAAACTAAACAATGTTTTAATATTCCAAAAATTCCAACCCCATGTCAACAAACAAATTAAAGGCTATTTTGATTAACGTGCATTTTAACGAAAAAAATTAATATCTTGAAAACTATTGACTTTATGTATAGTCTAAATCAAATTGTATATTCTATTAAAATTTCAAATCCATACCGTTTGCGTTTCTCCAAAAACACCCTGTATAGCATTATATTAAATATAAAAAAATGCAAAATAACTAATTACAAAAAATCGAAAAACAAATGAATAAAAATATAGGTAGGTATATCTAAATAGCCGATTGCAACATAAAAAGTCTTTATTCTAATTTATTTATTGGGTAAATATTACTTTCCTCAGTTAGGAATTAAAATTGAAGCTTGTTTATCGAGTAAAACCTAAATTGAAGCTTGGTTGTGGAGCAAAAAATAAAATTAAAGTAGGTTATAATTTCTAACTTGCTGATACTCTCTATAATTATTATTTAGTGTATTCATTTTAATAAATTAATATTTTAAGTTTATAGTACACTTATAAATTGAAACGCAATCAGTCATTTGCAACTTATAAACTGAACTGTTAAATTATCTTTCATGCTTCCAATGGTAGGTTACCATAGAGATAAGTCTGTGATGCCTACTATGATCAAAATTAGTAAACTTAAAAAAATTTAAAATTTATAAATAAAACTAATTTTAGCTCCATCTATGGCGATTTTTTAAAATAAATATGTAAGAATTGTATGTTATATATAAAATATTGTATGTAATATATAATACATTATCTTATAAAACTAGTTAAAAGAATTTATAATTTGTAAAACACGTTAGTATTGCGCTCTTTGAAGGCTTAACTTAAAAATGGTGTCTCTCGTAGAAACATAATTTGCATTTAGAAGTTTATATATCAAATAATAGTTAATTATCAGTACTTTAACGTGATATACTCAAAATTATAAAACAACGTTGCTTCTTCGACTTTTTAACCCTTAAAAAATGGTAAAATTTTAAATTAAATTGTCCACCGTGCCCCCTGTATATTAAAACCAAAAAAAAATAATACGTGGATTTATTGCCACTAATAAGGTCTACATTTTATCTTAATTTCAAATCGATACGTTTTTAAATAAAAATGTTATTACAAAATATCGAAATTTATCTATTTTTAACACAGTAGAGTGACTTAAGGCCTGAAAACCACAGGGGTCAATGGATGAAATTTTTTTTTTGAAAAAAAAGTACCATTTAGATGTACAAACAAGGTAACAAAAATATATTCAATTCTGGCATCACTTGCAAACAAATGTCCAAAATTTGTTCGATTTTTACGCGAAACCATAGTTAAGCAATGATTAGAAAATTTAGTACCTTTGAAATTTGAAATCCATAACCACAAAATTAATTTTTTCATCAGTTTTTTTCTCTGTTTACTCAGATGAAATTGGGACCAGTTCACAGGTTAAACTTTAAACATTTAATTTGTGTAAATAAATCCAAAAGCACTTCCCTTAGTTAAGATATTTACAATTTGAAAACATAACCTAAAATTTAAAAGAAATGCACTAGATTCTGTCATAAAAGTTGGCAGATTTTGTTTGAATTTACCTTCAGTACAAAAATGAAATAACCAACAATTAATAAAAACGCCAAATTGACAATTTGCATTGTTAATTTTGTCATTTTTGTAATTAAGCTAAATTTAAACAATGTTTGTCAACTCTTTTGAGAGATTTTGGAAACACTGTTGCATATATCAAATATACTGTTGTTACCAACATAATAAATCCACCAGATTAACCTAAAGTTCCTAGTCGATCAGTGGCGTACTTTTTGGTAGGATAAAGGTTATTATAAATTATTTTTAGACTTTGGAATTTAGAAAAAAAAAGTTTCAGGTGCTTCTTTATGGACCCTAAGGAACAACCCATTTTAATATATAACATTAATTACATAACACCCTGTATTGTTTTTAGTTTTTAATGTTACTTTAATTGGTAATAAAATATTAATTTGTTAATTAAAATAAGTTTATTTTTACTACATTAGCAATGGTGAATTTGTTGTTAAGGCCTACTGTAATTTATTTAACAAACTCCTCAACTCGACCATTCCAAGCCCATGGACAGGACACATCAGAAACATGTCTAAATATATTCTTGTTACTTCCTTAAGTTTACTTATTTTTTCTACGAGTATTTATGAGAAGTATTAGCCAAATTTGGCTAATACTTCTCATAAATACTCGTAGAAAAAATAAATAAACTTAAGGAAGTAACAAGAATATATTTAGACATGTTTCTGATGTGTCCTGTCCATGGGCTTGGAATGGCCGAACTGGAGATAATACCTTAATGGTTTAATAACAATTAAAAAGAAATAAACTGTCAATTTTTATTTTTGCATATACTTAATTCATAAATCTTGACACGCCTATTATACAAAACAATATATCATTTATATTATAACATCGTGACGTAACGCTACCAAAAGAATTTTAAGAAAAAAATGATAGAAAAACATTTTTTAAGGAAATGGTGGTTTTTAGCTATAATGGAAGTGGTTTCACACTGATTTTTAACATCACATTTAACATTTGACGCCTTAACCCGGCAACGGACAGGTGGGGTCTTATAGACCCCACGTTAATGTTAGGAGCCATTATTTCTGTATTTTTGTGCTTGTGCGCCTACGCGTTTCAGTAGCCTCCTCTTCTAGCTAATGCGTAGCGCAGTTTCGTTGTTATTGCGATTTCGTCGAGTTTACCTGACCGTTTACGTGACAATTTTATACAACTTTGCTGGTTAGTCATTTTGTGAATTTTGATCATATTTGTGATATAATATAACACAAATATGATCAAAATTCACAATTCAATATTTGTTTTTAAGAATTATGCTTGCTTGTAACACCTACGAAAATGAACAAAAGCGTCTCTTAGAACTTTGGGCAGAGCTAGATGAAGAAAAAGAATAAAATTATTATTTTTAAAAGTATAATTCTTAATCTTCTTTTTAAGTAGTTCTTTTATAATGAATTTTGTGTCTAAGTTTTTGTTTTTTTCTTGCATATACATTGTATTTGTAATGAATTAGATTTACTTTAGTTTTTATTTAAAAAAATAAATAAATGATATTTTTCTAAAAATGAGTGTACTGAATATTGTATTTATTATTAACGCAGTTGTCTGTAATTTTATTTCCGAAATCTACAGGGTTTTATTTAACTAAAATATAAGAATAATACTTTGTTAGCATGAAAGTTACAAATTGAGAATAATATAAAATATACTATACACAAAAAAGTCTAAAAAGGCAGATCTGAAGAAAACTAAATATATATTTTTTAATAAAAAACATTTAAGCCATGATCGATATAGTTTTAATTACCATGATCCTAAGACATTAATTTTTAACAAAAAATACCTAAAAATTAAATTTGGCCACAAATATACCTGACCGATCTTGTAACTTTTGGTCACCTGTCCGTTGCCGCGTTAATCTTGGTAGGGGAGCGTTTCCGGACACATGTTCATTTAAGAAAAAATGTTTAGAATTATCCCAGCTATAGGCGATATAGTTAGTATAGAAAAAAATATGATTTCAAGTGTAAATGAGAATTATTAAATAAAATTTAATTTTTAATTTTTATAAACCTCTTTTTTTAATATGATTGTACCTGTGGTCCACCTTGTGGATATGAACTTGCTGGTGGAGTGGGGCTGCCTTCTGGTCTTTTGCCCTGGAGAGCCATAGACAGTTGAGGTGGCAATGGTTGGCTTCTGGCCAAATACTTGTATGCCATGATTTGATTGCGCAATTGAGTCATTTGTAGCTGACTTATAACAGAGTTGCCGGCAGAACGAGCTCTTAACGCCAAAAGCTGCGAGTAGCGTTGGTCGTCTTGCATACCTTTTTCTTCCATAGTGTCGATAGCCCGCTGCAAAGCATTTATGTTATCTGGACCAGGTGGTCTAGTTGGACCTGAAGGAATTCCTTGCGGACCTGGAGATGAAGTATTCTAAAACATAAAATTAAATAGTTAAGTAAAAAAAGCTTCTTTCATGTGATTAATTTTTTAACTAAGAACTATTAAATATTAAGAATAATGCAAAATTACAGCAAACATATAAATATTTATTTATACTGTACCTGTCTCTGTTGATGTCCCATTGGTAATGGGTGAGACTGATATGGTCCCGATTGCATATTGTTTGGACCATGTTGGGGTGGGGGTCCACCCTGTGGGTGTCCCTGCCCCATTGGAGGACCACTTGGATGTGTGGGATATCCTCCATTTGGAGGAGCAGGACCATGCTGTGGATGTCCAGGTGGTCCTAATGCAATACATATTTAGCAACCTTTAACTTCTTTGTTTGTTGTTAAACAACAGATTTTTTTTTATTCGACACATTTGATTATGTTGGTATTCTATCTTAATATACTTTGGTATTTTTAATATTTTAAATTGGTGTACTCCTGTTCAAGCCCTTAATTTTAAATACTTTCGCATTTGTAATTTAACTGTCAGAATTATAATAAACATACATATATTTGTACGGTGGGAATGCAAATTTGCGTCTTTTGGGCAGTTAAGTTACCTATATTTCATCAAAGGTATTGAATTTTTTAACAACTTATATTTGACATTTCAAATTTATAAACATAGGTATTATTATATTTATAACATAAATGTTGAAATATATAAAGAATTGAATTGAATCACAATCCACACAAGGTCTGTTCGATCTCATACTAAAAATACTAAAAATCACTGCAACACTGCCCATCATTCAATGGCGGCCATTTTTGTTGTTTACAATTCTTGTGCTTTGGGTTTGTACTATCGCTAACAAAAAAAACTCATACAGCTATATTGTGGCTGTGTGAATAAAACTTTTCCGTCAATGTCAAGCTGACATCGAGCTTTGTCACATCCATTATGACTTTTTTTAACAACATTTTCAACTAAACAATGCAGACGAACTCTGGCAAGCCATTGAAGCCATTTGGAACGAGATAAAGCAAGACGGCGACTTCCATGCTTTGCCGTTTGCGGGCATTAATTGACAAAAACAGAGGGATGACGAAATATTATATTTTTTTTCAAACTTCAACCTAACTTTGTATTTAATTTTAGACCTTTCAAATGTGACGTATCGTGTTAAAAGCCATAATTACTCCAACGAAAGGATAGAAAATCAGGAACACTAGATTTTTAAGCTGTATGAGTTTTTTTTGTTAGCGATAGTACAGATTAATAATCGTTTTAAACGTTTTTTTGTGGGTTATAAAATAACCTTAAAATTGACATTTGACAGCCCTGATAGAATAAGGTTTATTTTTTACAAAAGAGGAGTAAAATGGTTGTTCTTAGCACTTTAAGATCTATTTTAAGGCTTTCAAGTGCCTCTGTAAGAAACCCAACGTTTAAAACTATTATTAATCTGTATAAACAGAGCACAAACCCAAAGCACAAAAATTTTAAACGACAAAAATGGCCGCCATTAAACTCTCTGCAGTGTTGCAGTGATTTTTTGTATTTTTAGTACGAGATGGAACAGACCTTGTTGTGTGGATTGTGCATAACACAACGTTTAAAACGATTTTTGTTCTGTATAAACAGCACAAACCCAAAGCACAGAAATTGTAAACAAAATAAAAATGGCCGAGTCTGTGCAGTGATTTTTAGTATGCGCGAAACGAGATAGGACAGACCTTGTGTAGATTGTGAATTTAATATTCCAAATGTAATTTTTGCGAAGTTGCCAAATTTCCAAAAAATACCAGAATCGGGGATATTTTTGCGACGTTGTCAAATTTTCAAAAAATACCAGAATCCGGGAAATATTTAAAATCAGGATAGCTTCAATAAGTCATCTTGAACTATTTAGCGGTGCTGTCAAATTTCCAAAAATTCTCAGAATCTGTAAATTTATTTAGGATACCTTCATTAAGTCATTTTGCATTATTTGGCGGTGCTGCCAAATGCAACGTAGATAGAATGAATAATGTTGATTTAAAGTTGAAATGACCCTTATTCTTCCTCAAAAATACGAGGGCAAAGCCGCGGGTTCCAGCTAGTTCTTTTATATAAATAAAAATGTAGTCCTAAACCATTAAAATAACAAAAATAAATTTCAACTTTCAAACGCTTATAACTCAAAACCTACCTGTCAGGAAAAATATACTTAAAATAAGCATCCTACATCCTGGCATACCATAAGTGCGCCATTTTTAGACACCCTCTATGGCGGTTATTTAACTGTAGTTAAGTTTTTAAACTCATTAACCCATATTAACCTTTTTTCAGTAAATGTTAAGTGCGAAATTAAATTCAAAATAATTAAAATATTTAAATTTATTTAGTAACTATTTGTTAACAAATCAAATTTGTTTTGACATTATACTGCACTAATTGGTGCAGTCAAGGATGCAGTATAATAGCAAAACAAATTTGACATCCTGCATTTAGGAAATAAATTGTTTGTTTTATGTTAGGGATTATAACCTTAAACTGGTTCAAGTTAATATTTTGTCTTACCTTGGTGTGGGGGCATGTGTCCATGAGGTGGGGGGCCTCCTGGAGGCATTTGATGGACTGAATGTCCTCCTTGAGAGGGTCCTCCAGGATGACCCGGTGGAGGTGCTGGCGGTGGTCCTCCAGGATGACCTTGCGAATGTGGAGGCATATGCTCTCCACCCATTGGCATGTGTGCACCATAAGTATTTCCAAACTGTTGCTGAGGAGGACCTGGAGGAACTTGATAAGGACTGTGGGGAGAGGGAGGAGCAGGACTTTGAGGTGGTGGTCCCATTGGACTCGGCGCCTGTGGCGGAGGCATAGGACTGTTTTGTGGCGACGGCGACGCCATCTCTTATTCTAAAAAAAATTGCCATATTTTATTATTTATTTTCAACCTTTATTTTTCATTTACCTAAAATATGACATTCATATTTATAAATACCTATAGATACCTAATTTACAAATATAGGTAGGTAGTTAATTTTTTATTTATTTGACATTGAGTTTAATCAATAAAGCCAATTATAGGTTTGGTTATATTTGTATTAGTCAACTAAACCCCCAAATGTTTGAGATCCTACATGAAAAAATATTGTTTGTTATGAATGTTTATATAACATATAAGTTAGGTTATGGTTACCTGGAATATTTTTGACCAAACTCTTTCAACAATATAAATTTATCATTACAACTTCTGAATAAAAAAATTTATATCTATTCCATCACATGCCTTTACACTTACACTAGTAGCGGCTTGACTTTAAAAAATTATGTCAATTTTTATCAATTTACGACATACGTAGTCGGTCCGGCAAATGTTTTACCTTGCGTCATCAATATGATCAATATGATAAAATTGCTGAATGTTTGGTTGTGAAATTGATGACGCAAGGTAAAACATGCCCCTCAGGCTTTAATACAATTATATAGTTAAAATTTTATAACTTGACCCCTACATTATCAATGCTGGCATGCTTCAATTTAGCAATACACAGGTTTGAGTCAAACCGTTTGACTAAGGTTATGTTCTGTGCTTATCGTTCTTACATTCAGGCCAATTTACTAACATGAGTTGTTAAGTTTAGCCACTAAATCAGTGGTTATCAGCCAATCCGGCCAATCAGGTCGATTAAATATACCTAAAGATATCCTCTAATTCTAGTGGCTAACGTTAACAATTCATGTTAGTGAATTGGCCTGATTGTCAGCATATCACTAAATCGAGAATTAGATCAAGGTTAGGGTTGCCAGGCCTTCTATATTTAACTAATATCTTCTTTGTTCCCAAAATATAGAAGGAAAAACTTCTATATTTCGGCGTTTTATAATAAAAAAAGTATAGTTGCAATGGTCAGTTTATATTATTGTATTTATTGATAAATATTTTAAACCCAACTCAAATTCTTCTATTTATGGCATTTTAATTTCTGGCAACCCTAATCAAATTTTAAATAATAAAATAATCAAGTTTTATAAAAAGCTTAAACACTGTTACTCAAAAAGGAAGCATTTTTCATTTTCATTTAAAATCACATCTAAAATAACCTTTTGTATTAGCACACCATATAAAAGCACCCTTTATAAGAACAAACTTAAAATTTATATACCTACAAAGTTAATTAATTATAATAATTATTTATTATAGGCTTGTAATGTAATGTACATAAATAAAGCCGGCCGTTGAAATGGAAACAATGCATTGTTTTTTATAAACTTAAATTACATTAAATTCCAGTACCTGTTTTGCTGGTTAAAGTAAAAACTAAAAACATTGCATTTAGGTCTTACACTGGTTAGCGATTTATTTAAACATGGAGATCTAACAAGGAAGCCATTTTCCGAAGCAAAACTTACTTTTTGTGTCAGTTATAGGTATGTTATATAATCCTTCATTTAATAAATAAATCACAAAACACCATAAATACTGTTGCCGTATATTAAACTGGTTAAATCATTATAAAAGCATAAACAATCACGAACAAAACGTCACTATTATAGTCGGTAACGATTTTACGAGGTTGTTTACGTTTAGCCACAACTCTTTCCTACAAGGATTGCCAACATACCCGTTTAACTTAACACTACTAATGCAATGTTGCCGGCATAAATATTTTTTCTTGACTTTGGAAATTGAAATAAAAAAAATCAGTATTATATTTAATAATAATAATAAATTATTTTACAAAACTAATCTTATTAAATATGGAGTTATATTATTTTCGCTTCCTTCCAATTGACTGGGAATAAATCCGACAACATTGCATTATAACAATTTACTATTATGTACAGTGTTACCAATGGGCGGAAAATTCTCCGCTTTTCAAATAATTTTAAGGTCTGCGGAGAATGTTGAGGATAATTTTTTTATTGATGTTTTTCCTTTGCGGAATTTGGACACTCATTTGAAGAATTTTCTCGTGGTAGGGGAGAAAATATCAGAAAATATCAAAATACTATTGGCAACACTGATTGTTCATGAAATTATGTTTGTTCGAATCAGTGGTACCGTTTCTACGGATAAATACGTAGATCAATATTGATCTACATATGTTTCCAGATGTACGATAATTACCGTACAAGTACAATAATTTGAGTATCATTTGAAAAAAAAATTATTATCAAATATTTTAATAGTATCCCAGAACGCAAAATCCCATTCCCTGCACATGTCAGGAATATTCCCAGAATTATTCCAAGCGTACCAGAATATTCCCAGGAATATTCCTGGCGTAATCAAATGTCCGCTTTTTTTGTTAACCCAGTCATCATAAAAAGAATATTGCATGTAACGGCGTGCATAAGACTTACGTAGGTATACTATAGTGTTAGGAGAATGTACCTTAATATAATTTGGGCAATACTCCTAGCCCTTATGTCCACTAAGTGGACTCCACTTATACCCACACTGAGAAAAAAGTTTATTCCCAGATAGCACAAGTACGTTCGTAGGACGTTCGTAGGACTTCCACCCAGGACAACCCGAACGTCCTCAGGATGTCCGGGGTCTGCAAAAGTACGTTCGTAGTACGTCCACAGACTTCCGAAATAGACTGTTTCAGATGTCCTCAGGACGTCCGTATTTGACCGTCCACAGACTTCCGAAATAGGATGTCCTCAGGACGTCCGTATTTGACCCCAAGCTGTCCAATTCGGGACATATGAGGACCGAATTAGGACATAGTTTTATTATAATAGGGAAATGTAATACAGTGTTAACAAGTGTTTTGTTAATATATATATATATATATATATATATATATATATATATACAGGGTGTCCGGGAAAAGGAGGTCAATCCGTTAACCATATATTCCTTAAGTTAAAACAATAAACCTTTCATAATACTATTTTTATTTATTTCTCCATTGAATTTCACATACCTTCATATCTCTAAATTATTTAAAAATATCAAGTGAAAACTTAAATTTTGTAGGGGTTTTTCCATATAATAAAAGTTGTTTTCACTTATATCATATATTTAAATACACAGAAATTTAACTAAACAGGGAGCTAACTAAAAACAGCACACGCTGTTTTATGAACAATGCCAACATGGCGGATTTCAGACTGCCAACTTAAAGTCACTAAACTGGTTACTTCCAATACCAACTGTTTATTTGGCGGTAAATTTGAAATAAACTCTTACAATTTATTGCATTAAAAATATTATAGGACAAATTAAATAATTTAAATGTTAAAGTGGAGAAATTTCTCCAATGGTATTTTTAATTCGTATTATACATTTCTCATATAATATTATTAATTCAAATTATTAATTTGGCCAATGTGATATTTTTTATTCAACAAATTAAAAATATAATATACCTAATATATATAATATAATTAAAAATAATTTTTTAAAATTTGTAATGATATTTTTAATGCAATGAATTAATTAATTTTACTAGATATTTTTAAATAAGTTAGAGATATGGAAAATTGCAATTGCTAAAAATACTTGACAACTAAAGACACAATTCCACTTAAGTGGATAAAGGGTCTATCTATAGACATATAAGTGAAAAAAAATTGACAACTTTTTTTTAAAATCTTTTATCGTGCTTGATTAAGGAGTATTTTTAATAAAAAACAAGGTGTAATTTTTTTTCACTTAGACCCGGGTCGCGACCAGAAAACCGATGGACGTCCTGAGGCCTAGGCCTATGGACGTCCTAAGGCCTAGGCCGATGGACATCCTGAGTACGTCCATCGGTTTTTTTGCCTGCGACAATAGTTGAAGATACAAATTGATATATCACCTTTTATAAAGGCCTTTATAAAGGGTGATATATCAACTTGTATCTTCAACTATTGTCGCAGGCAAAAAACCGATGGACGTACTCAGGATGTCCATCGGCCTAGGCCTTAGGACGTCCATAGGCCTAGGCCTCAGGACGTCCATCGGTTTTCTGGTCGCGACCGTCTGTAAAGGATTTAAACCGGATGTCCTCAGGACATCTTGTGCTATCTGGGTTGCTCACAAATAAAAAAAATATTTAAATATGGGACAAGGGTACAGTTTATTTCTCCTAAATATATTTTTATTCCCGACACATAAAGTTTTACTAAAGTATATTTATCGTTATTATTTCGACTATTTAGAGGTAATAAACAATATATTCACTATTAATAAAAGTATTAGCTACACAGTCTATTTGTCCCATTTTTTTCTCAGTGCAGGAATACTTATATCAAATTTGAAGAAAGAGAAAATTATTTATTGTTTTTTGAATATAAATTTATATTTATTCTTAAGAACATTCACTGGAAATGTTCCAACCCAGACCGCAAAATCACATTCCCTGCACATGTCAGGAATATTCCCAGGAATATTCCAAGCGTCTCAGAATATTCCCAGGAATATTCCTGGCATAATCAAATGCCCGCTTTTTGGTTAACCCAGGCATCATAAAAAGAATATTCCATATATCTGCCTGCAGAAGACTCAAGGATTGTTAGGGGAATATTCCTTGGATGTTAACTGTTAACAGACCGACGCGACCTGGCCGTTCTAGGGACAGTCAAGTAGGACCACCTTATGCTGGTCATTTACAGGACGCCTAAGCAGGGGCGTGCTGGGCCGCCGGGACACCGGGAGAAATCCCGGTGGGCCGGTGGTCCGGAGGGCTAAGTGGGCCGGTGTGACGGAGGGCTATGTAGGCAGCATGCCCAGCACGTGGTCAATTAAAAACTTTTTTAGTTAAGTTATGTATAAATATCATAATTATTTTACACTTACCATGCATGCCAGCCTGCCAGCTTTGGTTCTTTTTTCGAGATCCCAGCAAACACATAAGTCTGGTAATGTAATGGCCCATTACAGCGTTTAATGGTTAAATGATGGCATTTTTAACCCAAGCTGTTCTTGTACTGGGCCTCTACAGGAATTTTTCGTTAATAAATGTCAATTTAGACCAAAGGCTGTCGTGGTAAGGTCTTGCAATGGCCCTTTTCAGGCAATGATATGTATAATTTAACATTAAAGGCCCACATATGGCAATTATAAGTATCAAGTTAATGGAACTGTAACACACCATTACAGTGCCAAATGTTTTCCTTTGCTTTACACCATATTTACTAATGAATTCATTAATTCAATTCAATTAATTGCCTCATGTTAGTGGTATTATGCATATGCATATAGAAAAATAATATAGGTTTTGAGATATATTAATTAATTATCTAATAGGTGTATTTTATAATTAATTATTAATGAACTAAACAACTAGGTAGTACCTTTTTCAAGTAAGTATTTTTACTGTACAATTTTTACATTACCTAATGTCGTACTATTTAATAACCTAGGGATTGTTTATAAGTTTCCTGAGCGATGATAATTTGTATTAGTTTTTATTTTAAGTGCAATGCTATATGTTTTAGCATTGTGTAAAATATTGTCTGGTTGTGTTTGTTGCCTGTTTTTTTTTTCAGGGATTTAATTTATACTTTATGTTATTAATTATTAATGTTTGAAATTTTTTAACTTGGTTTTGTTTACACCCCATTTTTCGTGTGTAGTTGGCCGATTTTTCTGAATTTCCCGGGCCGCACAGTGGTCAGTTTTGGCAATCTGGGGCGGAATAAATCAAAATTTAAATTTGTCTTTATCACCATATTTTGTACGGCACTGTGAACCTAAATACTTTTAAACATATTCTAGAAAATATTTTGTTTAACCCGCCAACAAAAGCCAGTTCACTTGCAGTTATAGCAATGTTTTATTTGTGCATTATAGGGAAGGTCTGCGAGTCGGTCTTCCTGTACTAAATGCCTGTTTTGTTGTTTTGATTGCTAATTTCTATCATTTATAGTCATAAGTAAGTAGTTATGTTATTTTGTGCTTATACTTTGGTTACATTTTTATTTAATTACGGTTACATTAGAACCCATTTTGAAGACATATTTTTGGCATTTGTTAATATAGAACTTTTGGGATTGGCGTGGATTGGTTGTAAAAAGTACTTTATTTGTCTCAAAAAATATCGGTCTTTCCATATAAAGTGGTTTTATCTGCAATAACTTGCAATCTAAAAAGTTATAAGCAATTTATAAGCACCCTGTTTCACAATGAAACTGCCAATTTTGTGTTTTGTTAACACAGACGTTCAATTTAGGAACTCGTACAATTTTAAGGGTTTATTATCGCAAATCATATGGTTTTGCTTTATTATTAAATAATTTATCACCCAATGGATTACACAAACATTATGTAAAAATCTGTTACCTAATAATAAATATTATATTTTTCACTCCCCTTAATCCTTAATTTTAATCGCCTAATTACAAATAATGTTATTGCATTACCTGGGCGATTACATAAATCCTTCCATCCTTCAGAAAGGTATAAGATACTACCTTTAAATACCAAATTTATGAAAAATACATTCAGTTTTATCTTGTGCTTTAACAAATATCGTTCATTGATTATTATTATATTGGTGTGAAATGAGATGCCGCTGAACTTTATGTATCACTATATCAGTGGTATTACATGCCACAAAGTGTCCACAAGATACTAATTCATGGAGGAATCCTGGTGAACACATCATGATGTGTTCACCAGGATTCCTCCA